TCATCAGCAGAAAGGCTCAGGAGTGATCTTTGGATTAAGTATCCAAATTTTTTCTCTTGGGCTTATCTTATATTACTTATGTTGTAGCTTTTTCTCTGACTGTGTGTGACCATGTCAATACAATAAGAACAAGCAAAAAAAAAAAAAGTTAAAAGTAATCATATGTTAAAGCAATGATTTATTATTTTACTCTTACTCAGTAATCTTTAGTTTGTTTTCTAAAATATTTAGCTATAGTATTTTAAGGATCATACTTTTACCTCAAATAATTACTGAAATTCAATTTAAATAATTTGGTTGTTTGAATATAGGACTATAGTTTAGAACAGAGGATAAAATCTGTGTTGTAAAAACATCTCATTTCACAACCAATTTCTTTTTTTTTTTAAGATTTATTTATTTATTCATACAGAACTGGGGTACAGGCCAGAGGTGCAGGGGCAGTGAGAGGATTTACCAGAGATAGAGTGGGAAGTAGAACAGGCAGACTGATGAAGTACACTGCTGAGGGGAGCAACGGGCGGGACAGGAGAGGTCTGCCTTGACATGTGGATCATCTCCAGGCCCAGGATCAAACTCATGCTGAAGTGGCTATATATAGCTTCTTAGGACTGTGCTTTAACCCACTGGGCCACCAGGGAGGGCCCCACAACCAATTTCTATACAAGATGTTTGTAAATAGAACTTTTGGACATTTTAAAAAATTGTATAATATATGTTTTCTGTTTTACAGGAGATCATTTTCAAGGTAGCATGATATAGCAGTCTTTCCCCATTGTTCCATTTATCTCTGTGTGTTGTCACAATGCTGAGAAGCCAATGTGTTCATGGACTATTGCATAATTCACAGACCCATAGAACATCACTGTCCTACGCACTGTAGATTCCTTTGCCTCAAATTCCTTCTTCTCTACATTGCCAATTCATAGTTTCATCCTTTCAGCAGGATCCCACTCTGAAGTCTCTTTCTCAGGAAGCTTCCCTTCTCCTCTCCAATTAAAAGAGATTTGTCCCTTCTCTGAATTCCATACTTCTTTGTTGCTCTTTACATTTCTGTTCTCCACTTTGGAGTACTGTTATTTGCATGCATGTCTTATCTTCCCACTACTATTCATGTGTGAAGGGTCTTTGTTTTTAATCTTTCACAATATGTAGAACATGACAACTGGTAAATAATTCCTTGTAGAATAAATAATCAGAATTCTCCTCGTTAACCTGCTTTTTATGATAGTTCATTTGATATCTGTTTTATTTGGCATTTCAGTGTAAAGAGTTTTCCCGAAAACTAAATGACCTGTTTTTCATATAGCATAGCACTGCTTAACACATTGAAATCTGAAGTCTTAGAAAGAAAAACAGATGCCAGTAATTTTAATGGTTTACTTTCTTTAATTAAGGGAACAGTTCCAATTACTTTTTAAAATACAGTAAGATTGGTTCTATTGGTAAATAAGTAGTTGAGTACTTTGGCGAGAGTGACGTTGCCCTTCCCCAACTACTTTGTGAGTTTGTGCCTCGACTATTCATTCTGCACAACAAGAATGCAATTTAATATCATTTTCCTAGATCCATCCCTTCTCTGAAATCCAAATTAGATAAAAACCAGAAATAGAAGCACAGTGAGTTTTATACTTTACCATTATTATGATTTCATTTTTAGTGCCGTGTATTATTTCAGTCTTTACTTTCTTTTGTTTGGAACAGTAGGTTCATGAGAAATATAGAGAGAATTTGAGAAAATGAAAATCTTTAATAACAAAGGTAGATATGAATGCAAAAAAAAAAAAAAAACTTGTCATTACATGTCAAAACTATGCCTCTACCAATAGGTGGGCAGGTAACTATTGTAGTGAACTCTGAAAAAAAACTATCTAGATAAAGATGAATGCTTGAGTGAAGATTAGTATGAGGCTTTAAGTGAAGTAACTTTTTTATTCTGGCAATTCTTGCCAAGAGATTCCTGTGTTCACTGCCAGTTTGGGGCACTTAGCAGGAAGCAGAGAGAAAGTCATTAGTGCTAAACAAATTTGTGTCTGTTGATTATTCATTGGGATAGAATGTTTACCTGTTTGGTCAACCAGATCTCTTAAAAGTGATACAGAAGCCATCATTGATTGGACTTGAGTTCCCCAGCACATGTGTTTTCTGGCTCTTGTCTTATTTTTTTCATTCCTCAATTAAGGTAATGTCTAGATAATAAGTCAATAGGGTAATCTTATTCCGTTAAGCAGTACTCAGTTTTATTTAAAGATTTGCCCAGTATTTAGAAGCTGTAGAAACTGCCTCAGATACAGTACTAAGAACAGCAAAGCATTACTACCAAGAATACCACAAGAGTTAGAAAGGTGCCAAGTTCGAATAGTCCTACTGTCCTAATTTCACAACTTTTTTCTCAACATAGTCAACAGAAGCTAAGAGCCCTTATTGTACTTCTTTCCATATTCCAGAAGTTGAAAGGAAAGTGGATTGTGGTTTTGGAGAGTTCTCTCCATCTTGGCAACCAGTGAGGTGTCATTTAGCTAGATCTTTATAACAAGTGTTAATTTATGTGTTAGTTTCTACAGTGTTGGGGATATGACATTATGCTTATCTTGTGCTTATCATTACACTGTTCAGAAATCTTGAAAAAAAGTTTAATTAGTAAGTCTCATGTCTTGTAGAAATTGTTATATATCTAAAAAGTGGTTCTTTCTTAGATATACAGTAGAAGAATCAAGCCTAAGGTATTATGTTAGCATATTTCCCATGAATTAAGTATATACCCCTCACTAATAGAAACCTTTGCTAAAATAAAAACCTTCACTGAGTCATTAAAAGAATACCGCATTCTTTGTGACTTGCCATTTCTAATATTATGATGTTAACATTATAAATACATGTATGTATATGATGTGTGGGTTGTTGGTTTAATAGGGGCATACTTATAAACATTTTTGATCTGCAGAGTGACTTCTACACCTATCCGTGAGACTTTACATAAGTTATGTAAATTCTCCGCATCTGGCTTTTCTGTTGATAAGCTACTCACTCATAGTAATACTTACCTTACAATATTATAAGAAATAGGGCCCTCCCTGGTTGTACAGCGGGGTAAAGCACAGCACTAAGAGGCTGGAGCCATTTCCCTATGAGTTCGATCCCAGCCTGCCCCAGAGGGATCCACGTGGCTTGACAGACCTCTCCTGACCCGCCTGCTTCTCCCCTCCGCAGTGTACTTCTTCGATCTGCCTGTTCTGCCCCTCACTCTGTCTCTGGTGAATCCTCTCACCAGCTCTGGCCTGAACCCCAGTTCTGTATGCACAAATAACTAAATCTTAAAATATATATATTATAAGCAATAAATGAGTTAATACATGTAATGCATTTAGAAGTATGCTTGGCACAATTTCAATAATATTAGTCATCATTATTAACATTATCAATTTTTAAATTTTCAGTTTAATGTTCATTTCTTGGGTATATTTATAGCTGCCTAACTATATTAACTGGATTTTACTTTTCTTAGTAATAAGTAAAGGACTTGAAGTAATGTTATACTCTTCTCCTTTGTTGTAATTGTGTGTTGCTCCTTCAGCTTGACAGAGAACAAAATGACAGGTCCTTGAGAAAGCGAACTAAATGCAATGAAAAGTTCCTAATGACTGAAAATATTTAGCCAATTTGTAAAACAATACTAAGGAAGTTAGGGAGTATGACTATTAATTCAAGGCTCTTGTTCTGGATGATCAGTTATATGCTGGAAATCTTCAGTTGAAATACAGAATTAAAAGCTGATAAGTCCTGCCCAATTTCACTTTTCTCTACCTACTTATAAACACACACACCATCTGTACTCTGCTTGCTGGAAAAAACAGATGGAAACATCAGTATATCATTTTCAAACACATGGAGACATAAGGAAAGCTGATATAAAAAGTTATTACAAAATGATGTAAAAATAAACTATTAAATTATTTTTAAAGTTATTATTTTAGAAATACTCTAATAAAAACTTGCTTTATATGTTAAGTTTATCATAAATTTTACTTTTAGATCTATTCTAATATGCTAAATAATATGTGTTTTAGTTTTTTGGTTATTTTAATCAAATGCATGTTTATACTCACAAGGTTTATTCAAAATGAAATTAAGTTAATATACTTAGGTTCTTTTGCTAAATGTGTAATAGGAGATATCAAAAAACCAAAATCCTTTCTCTTTAAGCAGAGGGGAATTTTCCAAATATTAGTAAGTTGGCTAAATATTTTCTTATTTAGTAGTAATTTGTTTTTGTCTTGAAATTTTAAAATAGTCTCTGATCTTATCTCTTTTCTTCCTTTTGATCTGGTATTAAACATAGTTTTACCTATGCTTTGTGGATACATGAATGTAATACTATTTTGACTTCAAAATCACTTCTGAGATCAGAATGGAGTAGCGTTTCTACCAGCTTTTTGGTTTCCATTTTTGTTGACCTGGACTCATTAAAATGATGCATGAAGTGCATGTAGGTGACTCCAATACTTAGAGCCATTTCCAGTCACTAGCAAGTTGCTTTGTCCATCAATTGTTCTCAGAACAACTGAAAATAAGTAGAGGCAGAAAAACCAGTTTTTAGTTGAAGAGAACCAAGTTAGAGGAGTTGTGGAAAGACATGCGTAGGTAGAACACACAAAGCAACTTGCTGCTGGCCAAATGTTTGAAAAGTAACCCCGACAGGCAATGCTAGGGAGACACTGATGACAGAGCTCACCTTTGTCACAGTTTACCCCTGGCCCTGTCATCCACTTAGACAATGTCTGGATTTTAAAGACATCGAGTCCTCTGTGTTGTGTGGAAGGTTTCAGTGTGCAAAAACCTCTGAGATACTGGTCTACCACTTCATTAACTGCCGAAAGCATAGTTGAGTGCTGAGTTGTAAATGTATGTGGTGCCTATGATTGGGTGTGTTTTTTTCCTGCATGATCATCCATTGTGTTTGTAAGTAGCAAAAAATGAGCCTGATTTGTTCTCCTTTGTAGAGCCAGGCCGAGGCCCACTACAAAGGAAGTAAACATGCCAAGAAGGTCAAAGCACTAGAGGCAACGAAAAATAAACCCAAAATGGTTTCTTCCAAGGACAGCGCAAAGGCTAATCCCAGCTGCTCCATCACTCCAATCACAGGCAACAGCTCTGACAAATCAGGTCAATGACACTTTTTGTTCTTTGCATTCTTTGTGCTTCTCCTCGTCCCCTGCCCCACCCCAGTCTCCTCTCCTCAGCACTGCATGCGACTTTCCATGATTTGTTTTTATAATATTAATATGTTTCCTTGTAGGAAGGGTTATGTGTTTGCATGGTATTTAAGCATTTGATCTGTTACCATCCCATGTTGTTAAAAATAAACACTTAAGTATGTGTGTGTGTGTGTGTGTGCGTGTGTGTAAGTACATGTAGTTGTAGATATAAGTATATGTATGCATGATAATAAGTAGAGGCTGTATTGTGTTCAGATTCCAAAAATCAAGAAATGAATCTAAAATATTGACTTTATTTTTCTTTTGTTCATCTTCTGTTTGGTTTTTTATTATAAACTTTTTTAGTGAAGGAACTACTAAACTTGTTTACTGGTGATTTTTTTTTATTCTCTTACCCCTGCAAAGGGGAGTGAAGGATCTAAAAGGTGAAGTTACTTGAATGAAAGTCATTTTTAAAGCAATCTAGTGATGAGTTTAATAATAAAATACTTGGTATTTTAAGATCTCCACAGACTTCACCTATTTGCAAATAAGCCATATATTTTAAGGGAACTATGGAAATTATGAATTGACCAACAGAAGAATTTTATATAAATGGAATTGGCTTCTAATGGAGATGTATCTTAAGAATTTGAATTTCATCATCTCCATGAATTAAAAGTATTTATGAATAGGCTCAAGCTATTCAGTGGAAAAGGGAAAAAATCATTTTTCTAGCATGTAGGCCATGAAAGTAGATGTTGAATAGATTTTCACAGACACACATCTACCACTCGGGGCACACGATATAAAAGTCATCTTGATTCAGTGACTAATTAAGGAACAATGTCTGCTAAAGGAGCCTAAGAGAATATATTCTTTCACTTATGTTTGACTCTCATGACCTTTGTTGTTGGAAACACATACACAAACATCTGCCTCTTTTCCACCTATGTAAAATATGAGGAGATGTGAACATATTTTTCTTTATAAAAGGAAAGGCCCTCCAGGTTCTTTAGAGAAGAGCAATTCCTTTATTTAAGAAAGGCTTAGAAAAGCTTAGGCATGGAGTCTATGGAAGGTGTGACATTATCATGTTATCTGACAACCAGATAATAAATATTGGAGTATTACATCACCCTTTTCCCTTTTGAGAGAACAAAATATTTTCTAGTTCTATTCCTTAACCCACATCCATGGTATATTAAGGTCAAATGCTATTTTCAATTTACAAAATAATAGTAAACCAAGTGGAACTACACATTGTGGCAGTTATTTGCTAAAGTTATTGGAGAAATAGGATTCATCATCCCCTGAGTTTCTGGTTTAATTTTCTACAGGCTGTTGTCTCTGTAAAACAATATTCTGTCAAGTGTTTTATTACCTGAATTATAGTATTTATTCACATAACTAGTTATAAGCAAAATGTTAAAGCAGTGGAGATTAATGTCAATTCATTCTTTCGTCTATAACATCAGCTAACAGCACAATTGGTAGGTCCTGAAATTGTTCCAACTTTGCTAGATGTGTGCTCAATGCTCCCCTTGAGTTATATTATTATTTGGGATGTGGGTTTCTCTGGATGTTTTCTAGGTAAAAGTAATGCGCAGGAAAAATGTGTTAGAATGTTCAGTAAAGGAGGATCAATGAAAGAAGGATCAATTGAGAATAGAATCAATACTTTAATTAAAGGGAGAAAGAAAGGCACGGAAGAAAAGGAAAAGGAAGCAGTGGGAGGGGAGGTTTAGGCGATAAACCCAAGGAAGAGCAGTCTAAAAACAGAAATTCAAATTAAGATTACTAAGTCAGAAAAAATACAGCATGCCTTATACCTATACCCAATAGCATATATTAAAATAAAAGTCTAACTTTTCAAGGCTTTTATTCTAACTCTCCACTGCTAGAGAATGCTCAGTGAAAACGATTGCCTAAGCAAGTGTGTTTTCCTAGTGAGCAATCAGAACATAACAGAGTCAAGTGTAGCAGCAGATAAACTCATAAAGGGAACTGAGATCTAGAGGAACCCTAAAGGGTAAAGGTGGGGAGAGAGGAGAAATCTCAGTCAAATCTCTTTAATAACTTCACACAGGTCTTTAACCCTTCATCTTCTACATTCTCTGCCTCTTTCCTGTCCCCCCAGCTAAGTGCCTGAGGTTTAACAGTATTGACCTAACTCAACATTTCAACCCAAACCTGGATTAGAAGTAATAAAACCTATCAGTAATTTGGGGTTACCACATTTTCCAGGTTTCTTTATTCAAAAATCTGTATGAATTATTTGGTAAACCATTGACTGGATGATTTAAAATGCTTTTCTTTTTTATTTCTCATTTCATTTCAATAAGTACTAAAGAAGTATTTTAATTGTCCTACTGTATCCACAAGGGCAGTACCAAATCTGTTGAAAGATAGTACTATTTAAGCATAAAGTGGGTTGCATTCGGTAAATGGATATATGTTCTTTTGTCACCTTCAATTGTCAGTTTCTCAACAAGAATCCCCACATATGTTTTGTAGAATTTTCAAGTTGGAAAATTAGAAGATTTGCCCAGATGGGAGATCTGGTCTAAGTAATGTAATTCATAACCTATTGTTAACCATCTATTTCTAGATCCTTTAAAAGCTCCCACAATTTTGTCAGAATCTGAGTCTTTATTAGTAATAGGAGAACAGGAGACTTGAAAAACCACTCCTTCATAAATGATCTAGGCGGAATGTGAAGAGGAAGGTGGAGGGCAGAGGAACGATGCCTATGGCATTTAATTGACTGAAATGTCTTATTTTAGACAACATTGCCTCTAAGGAATCAGACAGACATTAGAGTAACAGGCACAGAGAGAAGTCACAGTTGACTGACAATACTTCTGCATCTGAAATTCCCAAGCATTGGTCTTTTTTCTTCTGAATGAAGAGCTCCTGTCAAGTGGGCTTTATCTGTTTCTATGTGATTCTTAGACACTTGAATGAAAAGTGAAACATTAGTTATTATAATTGATGTTTCAGCTGCCAGACTAAATATACAGACATTCACAGCATTTTCAGTTTCCACACTTATGTTTTAGCATCAATAACAGCCATAGAGTATTTGCTCAATGGGCACATATCCTGAGAGAGAGGAAATAGCCACATGTGAAGAAGGGAACATCTGAGAGAGCCACAGACTGGGAGTCATTGAACATCAGACTAGTACAGTGTGTGATTTCAGAAATTTGACAAGGATCATGAGGGCCACAGATGACCTTTCTCTGCTCATCAAGAGCACAGATTATTTCTTTTAAGAAGTGGCCTAATAATCTTCTAAGAACTAGAAAAGTCTGTTATCTGATAATTTGGTATTTGGAACAAGTTTTGTTTGTTTGTTTGTTTGTTTTTTCCCTCTCATGTTACATTTGGAGACATAATGTGGCTCATGTTATATCCAGATCTGTGCAATACAAAGAGATTTGTTATAATGGAGCTATCAGTTATAAATTTTCAGGGTATTATGGCAAAGTTTTTTCTTTCTCTCAGCTTAGTAAACAAAATGACTTCAAATCACACTAATAGTAATTTCATTTATTATAAGAAATTATAACCATATGATTGGAAAAAAAAATAGGCATGTTAAAAAGACAGTTAAGTGAGATTAGCTGACCCATTAACTTCTTAGAGTTGGGGTAGAATTAAATGTAAAATCCAAAGTAATAGCTTTAAGATCTCATAGGACCTATTCCAACTTTTAATGATACATCAGTGGAAGTTCAAAACATAGTAGGAGGGAAGAGAAATGTACTTTGGGAGAATTGGGGTCAAAACACAGCAAGCATTAGGCAGCTTCAGGAAGATGGCTAAAATATGTTGGCCAGACACTCTACCCAAATTTCTCCCTGGAGTTCAAATGCCATAATGCCATATGACAGTAAACTTCCCTGAGATAATATTCTCCATACATCATATTGAATGTTTTTTGTGACAGGTTCAAAAATACAGAACCTTCCAAAAACCTTATTTCTTGAAAATTATAAAATCTTGTGATATTCAGCTTAATGATAAAAATATTGTGATAGTCACCTAATGCTCCATATTCTAGTCTTTAGCATGAGATATTTTTAATGAATTAGATGTCAAGATGGGGAAAATATATTTCTAGTTCAAAATATCTAAAGCTATTTAAACAATCTTTAATCAGTTTCTTGCTAAACAGATAAAAGCAGATGGAATGATTCAAAATGCTATAGATATATTTACAAATGCAATTAAGAACAAAAATTATAGAACCAGCATGCTCTGCTTGAAATAGAGCCATAGAAACACTTAAATTTGTGCAGTTTACAAAATCCAGGTACATATGTTTTTGTATAGCCTTCTCGACAACTGTTTCAGGTATGGCTGATATTAATATCCTTTTTTTATATGCTCATGCAACAAACTTAATATCCAATTTCACTCAAAACTATTATCTATACTATAGTACAGTATATCTGCATATTTTGTCAGATATTGGGATGCAGCAATGAATATAAAGATAATTTTTCTCACTCTCAAAGAGTTCTCAAATTTAGCATTCTTATTATTTGTAGCATTTAATTATGATAGCACAAAACTTTATAAGTTATAGCTACTCTCCTTTCAAGTAAATGATATTCTCAAAGCTACATACCACTTGGCAGTTGTAATCATTTTCTGTCTATAACCAAATCTACTTAAGATGGAGATTAACACTGGCAATTGCATCACCACAATGACGAAAGCCTGGAACTGCCCCTAAAAGGAAGATGGTTGAATTGTACTGAACACTGTCCACATTTGCAGTAGCATTTTTACTCATTCCATCTAAAAGTTTAATCACTGTGGTAGGGAGATTGTTTTGTTTATCCCTATACTGATATCTATATCATAGAGACTATGAGATGACCATCTCAAAAAAGACAGAAGAGGGAGAGAGGGAAAAAATAGTCATGCTGTTCTTATGCATAGCGGCTATTCTTC